GCGCACTTAATAAGGCTTCTCCTGGCTAGATCGGCGAGATGCGCTACTGTGCCGCGCCGAGCTGCCATGAATTGACATCGTCAATTAAGGGGTCGCAACGTAATACAAGCATCGCGCTACAACGCGAACGTTTTAATATCAATCAAATGTTTATGTACAATATGTATAATTGACCATTGTTAATGGTCTGGCCCGGCGCGCGCTACTTCGTGGCACTTGCCATCGAGAAGAAAGCTGCGCGCGCTACTTCGAAGAAATTTAGACGAGTAACATCCGTCAATATGTTAAATAAACAATACCAACTAAATGATAATACCATAAAAAGTGTTAAATAACTTTTAGTTTGTGCACAATGTCTAGTTGACTTGAAAACTACGTCTTTATCAAATACCATTATTTGTTATTACAGGCTTTAAAATAATCAATATTTGATTGAGTCTTGATAAATTGTCAAAACTATTTTTGGGTTGGATTAGTTCACGAAATATAGTTGTCTAACCTATATGCGATCTGGAAAGCATCATTAATAGTTGAGCTCTATATAATAATCGTAAGTCTCTTCTTTTAAACCTTTTAAGGGTCCCCTTCAATGCACCTCATCTGCGTCACATCAACAGTTTACAATATAATATAAAGTACAACCTAGTGCATGTGTACCTGAAGTTTTTGAATTTTAAGAGGCAAGATCTTTTGGCATCGCTATTAACCGTCTAAGACCCTTTTACTAAATATTTGTGAGGCATGCACTTGCATATAATAATAATAGACCCAAGGAAGTCCTGCGTCCGCCCCGAAATGTCCCCAATGTAAATAAGAGTAGTTGATAGAAATTGACGGTGTCTGGGTAAGTCATTTGGGTAATTTTCTATAATAATTTTCTAGCAGGCATCTCTATTTTGCAGTCGCTCTGTGTTTAATCAGTACATATGCGACTCTTTTTTCTGTTAACTTGTGACAGTCCTCAACACACCAGCTACGGGGTAACACATTTACTGATCGAGCCCGTCCGGGATTAACTTGAAGCTTCTCCAGTGTAAGGGATGACAATGTCTTAGTAAAATTCGTTTGAGCATGTAGCTCAAATCATTTAATACTTAATTATACGGGCTCAAAGAAGCAGTACTAGCAATTGTGTCCTTTACCCTCCTACATAATGGGGGGGTGACATGTCTCCAATGTCTCCCGCACCTTATCTTTTCGAAAAAGACAAAGACATTGGAGACATTGGAGACATTGGAGACATTGGAGACACAGCTTTTGGAGACATTGGAGACATTTGGGACATTTGGGACATTGGGGACATTAGAGACACAGCTTTTGGAGACATTGGAGACACAGCTTTTGGAGACATTGGAGACATTGGGGACATTTGGGACATTGGGGACATTAGAGACACAGCTTTTGGAGACATTGGAGACACAGCCTCCTCCTCCTCCTCCTCCTCCTCTTCCTCCTCAGTCCTCCTCAGTCGTTCTCCTCCTCCTCCTGAGTCCTCCTCCTCCTGAGTCCTCCTCCTCCTGAGTCCTCCTACTCCTCTTCATCCTTCTCCTCTTCCTCCTCAATCATCAGTCCTCCTCCTCAGTCCTCCTCCTCATCTTTCTCGTCAGTCTTCCTCCTCCTCCTCAGTCCTCCCCAAGTCCCCCTCCTCCTCAGTCCTCCCCCAGTCCCCCCTCCTATTCAGTCCTCATCCTCCTCCTCCTCAGTTCTCCTCAGTCCTCCTCCTTCTCAGTCCTCCTCCTGAGTCCTCTTCCTGAGTCCTCCTCCTGAGTCCTCCTCTTCCTGAGTCCTCCTCCTCCTAGGTCCTCCTCCTTCTCCTCCTCCTCCTCCTCCTCCTCAGTCCTTCTCCTCCTCCTCCTCCTCCTCCTCCTCCCTCTCAGTCATCCTCCTCAGTCATCCTCCTCAGCCATCCTCCTCAGCCGTCCTCCTCAGCCATTCTCATCAGTACTCCTCAGTCCTCCTCCCCAGTCCTCATCCTCCTCCTCAGTCCTCCTCCTCATCCTTCTCCTTAGTCCTCCTCTTCCTCAGTCCTCCCCAGTCCCCCTCCTCCTCCCATTCACTCCTCCTCCTCCTCCTCAGTTTTCCTGAGTCTTCCTCCTGAGTCCTCCTCCTCCTCCTGAGTCCTCCTCCTGAGTCCTCCTCCTGGGTCCTCCTCCTTCTCCTCCTCAGTCCTTCTCCTCCTCCTCCTCAGTCCTCCTCCTCCCTCTCAGTCATCCTCCTCAGCCATCCTCCTCAGTCCTCCTCAGTCCTTCTCCTCCTCCTCAGTCCTCATCCTCATCCTCCTCTTCAGTCCTTCTCCTCCTGGGTCCTCTTCCTCCTCTTCCTCCTCAGTCCTCAGTCCTCCTCCTCATCCTTCTCGTCAGTCCTCCTCCTATTCAGTCCTCCTCCTCCTCCTCCTCAGTTCTCCTCAGTCCTCCTCCTGCTCATTCCTCCTAAGTCCTCCTCCTGAGTCCTCCCCCTCTTCCTCCTGAGTCCTCCTCCTGGTTCATCCTCCTCCTAGTTCCTCCACCTTCTCCTTCTCCTCCTCAGTCATTCTCCTCCTCTTCCTCCTTTGTCATCCTCTTCAGTACTCCTCAGTCCTCCTCCTTCTCAGTCCTCCTCAGTCCTCTTCCTGAGTTCTCCTCCTCCTCAGTCCTCCTTCTGGGTCCTCCTCCTCCTAGGTCCTCCCCCTCCTCCTCCTATTCACTCCTCAGTTTTCCTGAGTCCTTCTCCTGAGTCCTCCTCCTGAGTCCTCCTCCTGGGTCCTCCTCCTCCTAGGTCCTCCTCCTTCTCCTCCTCAGTCCTTCTCCTCCTCCTCCTCAGTCCTCCTCCTCCTCCCTCTCAGTCATCCTCCTCAGCCATCCTCCTCAGTCCTCCTCCTCCTCAGTCCTCATCCTCATCGTCCTCTTCAGTCCTCCTCCTCCTGGGTCCTCTTCCTCCTCTTCATCCTCCTCTTCCTCCTCAGTCCTCAGTCCTCAGTCCTCCTCCTCATCCTTCTCGTCAGTCCTCCTCCTCCTCAGTCCTCCCCAGTCCCCCTCCTCCTCCTATTCAGTCCTCCTCCTCCTCCTCAGTTCTCTTCAGTCCTCCTCCTTCTCATTCCTCCTAAGTCCTCCTCCTGAGTCCTCCCCCTCTTCCTCCTGAGTCCTCCTCCTGGTTCATCCTCCTCCTAGTTCCTCCACCTTCTCCTTCTCCTCCTCAGTCCTTCTCCTCCTCTCCTCCTCAGTCATCCTCTTCAGTACTCCTCAGTCCTCCTCCTTCTCAGTCCTCCTCCTTCTCAGTCCTCCTCAGTCCTCTTCCTGAGTTCTCCTCCTCCTCCTCCTCCTCAGTCCTCCTTCTCGGTCCTCCTCCTCCTAGGTCCTCCCCCTCCTCCTCCTATTCACTCTTTAGTTTTCCTGAGTCCTTCTCCTGAGTCCTCCTCCTGAGTCCACCTCCTGGGTCCTTCTCCTCCTAGGTCCTGATCCTCCTCCTTCTCCTCCTCAGTCCTTCTCCTCCTCCTCCTCAGTCCTCCTCCTCCTCCCTCTCAGTCATCCTCCTCAGCCATCCTCCTCAGTCCTCCTCCTCCTCCTCAGTCCTCATCCTCATCGTCCTCTTCAGTCCTCCTCTTCCTCCTCTTCATCCTCCTCCTCTTCCTCCTCAGTCCTCAGTCCTCAGTCCTCCTCCTCATCCTTCTCGTCAGTCCTCCTCCTCCTCAGTCCTCCCCAGTCCCCCTCCTCCTATTCAGTCCTCCTCCTCCTCCTCAGTTCTCCTCAGTCCTCCTCCTTCTCATTCCTCCTAAGTCCTCCTCCTGAGTCCTCCTCCTCTTCCTCCTGAGTCCTCCTCCTGGTTCATCCTCCTCCTAGTTCCTCCACCTTCTCCTTCTCCTCCTCAGTCCTGCTCCTCCTCCTCCTCCTCCTCAGTCATCCTCTTCAGTACTCCTGAGTCCTCCTCCTTCTCAGTCCTTTTCCTGAGTTCTCCTCCTCCTCCTCCTGAGTCCTCCTTCTGGGTCCTCCTCCTAGGTCCTCCTCCTTCTCCTCCTCAGTCCTACTCCTCCTCCTCAGTCCTTTTCCTCTTCCTCCTCCTCCTCCTCCCTCTCAGTCATCCTCCACAGCCATCCTCCTCAGCCATCCTCCTCAGTACTCCTCAGTCCTCCTCCTTCTCAGTCCTCCTCAGTTCTCTTCCTGAGTCCTCATCCTCCTCCTTCTCCTCCTGAGTCCTCCTCCTGGGTCATCCTCCTCCTAGATCCTCCTCCTTCTCCAATCATACATCTACGTCTCCAGTGTCTCCAATGTCTCCAATGTCTCCAAAAGCTTTGTCTCCAATGTCTCCAATGTCCCCAATGTCTCCAATGTCTCCAATGTCTCCAAAAGCTGTGTCTCCAATGTCTCCAATGTCTCCAGGACATGTCTCTGCACCCTATCTTTTTAAAAAAGACAAAAGACATTGGAGACATTGGAGACATGTCACCCCCCCCCATAATTTGAACATTTTTGTGGCTAACTCATTGAACAACATCTGAATTAAAATGTGTCTAGTATTAAAAGATTCAGTAAGTTATTTTTCATGTACGCTGTTCACTGTAGTTAGTAAATGCAAACCAAACTTTTTCGATCAGCCGCGCACCGAACCAGTGTTGTACTAGGTAAAAATTGTGTATATTTTGTTCATTTTTGAGTGTAAATTAATTTATTAATTTATCACAAATTATTTTATTATAATATAACCACTTATGTGAAATGGTTATTTCGACATTAAATATTTGAACTAAATATGAATTGATTGTGGGTATAAAATAAAATTTGTTTTACTAAAAAAAAATTTGTTTTACTAATTTGAGTAGCTGCCACATCAAACTGATGAATGGGAATAGATTATTTTTTGTGGCACCCTGGGTTAGCTGTGCAAAGGCTATGTTGTGTATCGTTTACATGGCATCTTAGCATAGCACCGATCATTTGGGTGGTAAATTAGTGTGTATTTGTGAGCTTTGATGGCACACAACTTGATTCTATATCTCAATCAAATAATATTTGTTACATATCCAATTTATTGTTCCATTTGACTGATACTTTTGTATCTAAATTTATCTTACCAGAACAATTTCGCCAGTTTTAGTCTATGGTTGAGAGACGTTTAAGGGCTGATGGACGGCAGCCCCTGCACAGGGGAAGATGAGTTAAAGGATGTTGTAGCAACAGACGATATTGTAGACAGTTACACTATCTCATGGGACCAGAAACTTGGCGAGGGTCTTAGTGGATTTGTGAGGTATCTTGTTTTCAATTTATTATTTCTTAATTGGCAGATGAAGGTTTTTGTACATCATACATCCTCGAATATTGAAGGTCAGATAAATGCGTCAATGGTGCTGAATGGGGCTATGCTGTGTACTGTTCTTACTATTTACCTATTACTCCACTTTTCAGACAATGTGTTAACAAGGAGACAGAAGAAGTGTGTGCATTGAAATGCTTACCAGACACTCAAGCGTCCAGACTAGAGGTACATTCTGAATTAGCTGTTAGAATACTGTGTGACAAAGTTGTGCACTGTCGTACCACCTTTACTATCCACCCATTTCACTGCCATTTTGCTATATGAATTATAATTATAAATCAGGAGTATGTTATCATTCAAAATAAAACAACATATGTATGTATGTTTGTTTATAGAACCAGTCACCAATCTCGTATCGGAAATCTCGTATTCAAACTCAGGTCTGAGTGTGAATCCGGGTGGTACCTGTCTTCTTCTTCTTTTAGAGTTCTGTAAAACTGCAGTTACAATTGTGCTAAGGTATTTTTAGTATTTAAGATCGATATCAGATCTATATATCCTTACATGCTTCCAAAATTTTAAATCTCCAACTTTCTGCACATTGTACTGGAATGTTTGGGGAAAAAAAGAAAGAAAAAAAAGGTTTAAAGTTGGGGAAACATAGTATGTAACGTCGATACCAAACCGATTATCGAGCGATGATAACTGAGTAGTTGATTCATGGGTTGCAGAGTCCTGTTCAGTTCTGTCCATATTTCCTCGTGTTATGTTCAAAGTTTTGAAGTGTCATGTTGTCCTCAAATTATTTGTTGTCCTCAAATTATTTATAATTTTGTATAGTTATTTATAAAAATTATTTATCCTCAAAATAACATATTCAAGGGAGATTTTGATTATCTCTAGAGTTTTCGGAGTTATTTAACCACTGTCGATAATCTTTCAACTGTCTGCACTGGAGATAATATGAGTGGAAGTACTAAGTTTGCACATTTGAGCTGTCTGTACTGATGTGATGTAGATTAGCTAATGACAGACACCAGCTTACACTTTCCAACTTTACATCTACTCTCTATTTCAGATATCTCTGCAGCTGCGAGTCAGCGCTTCATCCAATATCGTCAAGATTTTAGATGTCTTTAAAAACACGATTCAGCTGCCGAACAGTGAAGAACCCAAGTAAGTTACTTGGCTTGGTTAGTGTAATAGTCACGTATATGACTTGGCACAAAATTATCAATGTGATGAAATGTTCGTATAATATATTATGTTTTCACTAGCTTCATCATAATGTTTAGTCTTTAGTTTTAACTAGATAAAACACTACAAATTTTCATATTTTTGAGGCCATATTTAAGTAAGATAATTTCAATAATTTCAATAATTTCACTACATCCAACTGTTAAAACATCAATAAACCTGATTACAAATCACAAGTTTACCCATCAAACTATCATAATTCGTTGTAAAAATGTTGGCACCCTGCCAATCTCCCTATCAACACAACTTACACCATTTCAACACGTACAATAACTGTTCACTAGGTGGCCACGTATCACGTGTATGTGATTTGTTGCTGTGATGTGCAGCTCAGTGTGGAGTGGCCACTTTATAATCGAATAAACTAGATCACAATGCACGACATGACCAGTACAAAACTTAATCAAGTTAAATGTTGACATGATATTTGAGATCGCATTGTGACACGTACATCCACATCAAGTCAGCTTTGTCAGCCTTACACAGAGCTTTTTATGCAAGTTATAAATATATATATATAAATTGTGTACACACTCACATAATGGAACTATCTGGATCAAATAACTCACGTGACACACTTGACGTGACGTGACACACGTGACGTGACGTGACACACATGACGTGAGATGTTATGGTGTTGTGTTCGGATTGCATGTAATAGTAATCATTATTACAGGGATATGCTACTGGTTGTCATGGAGAAGATGAGTGGAGGTGAGCTGTTTGACAGGATTTCCAAGAAGAAGAGATTTACGGAGCGGGAAGCATGTTGTGTTACCAAACAGGTTAGTGTCTTTTAAACACATAGTTTGTTTTTTTCTTTGTTTATTTTATTTAACTTTGTTTTATTTTGTGAATGTCTGTTTATTGGTATGTAGGTATGTATGTTTGTTTATGTGATTGTGTATGTCTGTTTATTGGTCTGTATGTTTGTTTGTTTATGTGATTGTGCATGTCTGTTTATTGGTCTGTATGTTTGTTTGTTTATGTGATTGTGTATGTCTGTTTATTGGTCTGTATGTATGTTTGTTTATGTGATTGTGTATGTCTGTTTATTGGTCTGTATGTTTGTTTGTTTATGTGATTGTGTATGTCTGTTTATTGGTCTGTATGTATGTTTGTTTATGTGATTGTGTATGTCTGTTTATTGGTCTGTATGTTTGTTTATTTGTGTGATTGTGTATGTCTGTTTCATTGTGTACAGATGTTTCTCTGTTTTTATTTCTGTTTCTCTGTTTGGTTGTTCTACTTCTTTTCAAAATAAAGAGATTACTCTTATTGTAACAAATTTATCTCACACGCTGTACTGGACAAAATGTCACTTTTGAAGCTGTCAAAGTACAACTGGCAAATGACGAGTAGGACCTGTAACCTGTATGTCACTAGTGACTAGTGACATACTTTTAAACAGGTCACTAGTCAGTACTCACTATATTATATTGTTCTCACTTTTTCATACAAGAATGTACACTTCAATTTCAAGAGTATAGACGAATTATCATATAAACGAATTTGTTATGAGTTAGTGTATGAGTTTCAAAGTACAAACAGAATTTTAACCCCTGGATCTAAAGTTAAATAACAGGAATGTTAAATTTGGCTATTTACGGTCTTCTTTTAGTTAAAATTAGGTTTAAGGCGGCTTGTAAATTATATGATACGTTTATTTTTGCTGTTCAGTCAGACTAGGTTTAAGGATTCCCCATTTCCGACTGTTATCTTTTGAGACGTGATATAATTATTGTAATCCTGTATATTCCAGTCTTATTCCTGTAACAGAGGAGCAGAGGTTGGCGATATTGAGAAATATATTTGGAACATGAGATTCATCACAGGAGAACATATTTACTCATAATATTTTTTAAGTAACTGAATTCAACGTTATCTATGTGACAAATAGCAGAGCTGTAATATTGGTGCATCCTTAATGAATTAAATCCTTGAACAGTATTAAAAATACATATTATCATGTCGCAACTCTTAACTGTCGTGAGTTCGACAAATAAGAGTCAGACATTTATTATAACCAATCTACTGATTGCTCGAACAGTCATGAGCATGTTAATGTATGTTACATTGTCATATCATACAGTCACATGTACAAAATATGTGCAGTACAAATCAGGTGATTCTGTGATGCGGACGTGTTGGTATGTTATTATGTACTTGTACGTAATTATGTTGAATTTGATGTAAAATAAGTCTTGATCTTGTAGATTTCAAGATTACATCAATAAGCTGCACAGTACATGACAGATCTGACAAATGATAAGGTTGATTCCGAATGACTACTCATATTGCATGTAAGAGCCTGTATTTGTACACTCTGTGTGTGGTGTACAGCTGTAATTGTTATTTGTTAGGCTTCTCCCCCTCAAAATAGTGTATATATTGGTATAGTGAGAAGGAGTCTGTTGTATACAGTAGCAGTAATTACAGGTTAACTGAGCGTACATTCAGCGTACATTTGTTGTATACTGCAGAGTTAGGATTAACCCATCTAAACGTTCCACTGGTAGTAGATTTAAGGGTTGTTAAGCATGTTGATAATCGTGGGGGTAAACATTTCGGTGAAAAAGTTTTTAAATGCTGATTTGAATTTGGGTGTTTTATTGGTCAACCAAAAAAGTGTGCAGCGTCCGCTGAATGAACCTTGCATAGTATACACGATCTTCAGTCACCTATAATACTCGTAATGAAGATACGTAACATCATTATACTTGCATGATTTCAGATTATGAGTTACAATATTCAAAATTTAGCGTCCATCCAGGATATATTAGAGATTTATACCTGAGCTGTACATTACACTATCACGTGGTCACACTTCTAACCACGTGATCTCATCTCTCTCTCTCTCTCTCTCTCTGTCTCTCTCTCTCTCTGTCTCTCTCTCTCTCTCTCTCCTCTCTCTCTCTCTCTCTCTCTCCTCTCTCTCTCTCTCTCTCCTCTCTCTCTCTCTCTCTCTCTCTCTCTCTCTCTCTCTCTCTCTCTCTCTCTATCTCTCTCTCTCTCTATCTCTCTCTCTCTCTCTCTCTCTCTCTCTCTCTCTCTCTCTCTCTCTCTCTCTCTCTCTCTCTCTCTCTCTCTCTCTCTCTCTCTCTCCCTCTTTCTCTCTCTCTCTTTCTCTCTCTCTATCTATCTGTCTGTCTGTCTGTCTGTCTGTCTGTCTGTCTGTCTGTCTGTCTGTCTGTCTGTCTGTCTGTCTGTCTGTCTGTCTGTCTGTCTGTCTGTCTGTCTGTCTGTCTGTCTGTCTGTCTGTCTGTCTGTCTGTCTGTCTGTCTGTCTGTCTGTCTGTCTGTCTGTCTGTCTGTCTGTCTGTCTGTCTGTCTGTCTATATAATGAGTTCTTTAAAGTGCTGTCTACAGTAACTGGTACTTAGCAGCAGGTTTACAACCGTGTGTGCGTGTGTGTGGGTGGGTGTGTGATGTTTTAGTGAGCAGTGTTATGTAATATATATAAAGTTATATTAAGTAAGAACGGCGCGCATTGTGGGTCTTCAACAGTGTGCCAAATGTTTAATAACATTATATGCAGCAACAAATAACAATAGATCACCTGTAATATGTAAAACACATTATTATTATATACAGTGTTATATTTTTAGAATAGCTTATTGGCGCAATAGTTGGCACAATAAAGCAATAACACTACACGTTGGTTTCCTGTACAATGTGTTCACATGTAACAATTCCAAATTACAAACACGAACTATTTGTTGTCGGTACCTGAAATGAGGCAGTTTACATTCTGAAATCATTTTCACGCTAATTATAATAAATTCCATCACCCAGTCTATGAAAAACATTTTTAACGTCTACATTCCTTTGGCAGATAGCGCAAGCGTTGCAGCATTGTCACAACAACAGTATAGCCCACCGTGACATTAAACCTGAGAATCTGCTGCTCAAAGATCACGGCCCTGACATGATTGTTAAACTGACCGATTTCGGGTTTGCAAAGATTGACCACGGTAATCTGACCACGCCCCATTTTACGCCTTACTACGTCTCACCGCAGGTAATTGATTGGATAATTGGATAATTAATTGGAAAGTTTGATGGTTACTGTTTGTGTTATTTCTGAGACGTCATTTGAATGTCGACATTTAAGTTATTACATTTAACTGGAAAATGGTGTTGTAATGACATGTGACCGGTGCCGCTAATAGACTTGTATAATTGTCTTAATCCTGATGGTACGTTGAATGTTGATGGAATGTTGATACTGTAGAGCTGTAGGATGTGGTAATTATAATACCACAAACAACTTGCTCAGCATTCTGCACTTCAATTATCTATGTTGTTTTTAATTTTTAATTTCCTCAGATCCTAGAGGCGTCAAAGTTCCAGAAAGCGGTAAAAGCCGGCCGAGTCCCTGAGGGCTGCACATATACATATGATAAAGTAAGTTATAATAGTTCCACTTCAAGATACGCTGCCCAGACTTAAGACTATATGACGTGGTCGAAATAGGATTATTCAGAAAAATTGAGTGACTTGAATATTCTTATTCTCATGGCAGGTTCCAAACTGTGGGAAATTTACCGTAATTGCTCCAATTTGCTTAGCTGTGCAATCATGCAAGTTCAATTATCGTTGATAATAAGTAACCCTTCGATCATAACTAAATTGCGAATTCGAAACAAGAATGTGGAAGTCGCAATTCTAAGAAGGTCTACATTTAGTTGTAAGCACTTTAATTTCACTAAATCTTTGTGAAAAGTTGAGCTGCGCGGCGGGCCAGTCATTCGCGCGCAGCGCACACGTGATTTTAAAACAACAAATTTTAGTCAAATTTGTCTAAAAATAGAGTTCTTGCGAATAAAGCTACACATTCAATTTCTTTTATCCAATTCTCTCAAGTAAGGGTGGTCTGTGTGTAGTAAACAATGTGGGATACGCAAAATGTGGTCTTACACGCATCCTAATTCGATGCTTGCTGTTGAAGAATCACTGCAACCGATGACCAGTTGTTGGATAAATAGTTCGCGGAGTCCTGGACAACGTACAAAAATGTTAATGACAGACCATAATTTGGCGTATTATCAAAATATTTGTTGAACATTTGTACAAAATATATAATTCCTCAGAGCTGTGACATGTGGAGTTTGGGGGTTATTCTCTACATCATGCTATGCGGCTATCCTCCATTCTACTCTGAAGTTCCCAGTCAGCTCTTTTCTCGGTCCATGGAACAGAAAATATTGCGAGGAGAATACGATTTCCCGGCCAGGGAATGGGGAAGGGTTTCCCACGAAGCTAAGACTATCGTCGTTAGGTTCGTCAATCATTTCCTAAAGTACGCCTTTATTCTTTAAATAATTATGGTCACTGTAGTCGAGTAATCTACAATTTTCCTCATCCCTAATGAACTGTGTGCCCTCTCTCTCTTTTTTTCTCTGAACCAAGAAAATCTGTGACTAATTCTTAACTAGTTTAATTGATTCTATTATCATTAATATTTATGTGCCATATTCCACAGACTGTTGAACGTAGACTCTGATCGTAGAATGACAGTTGACGAACTGCTGAACTCAGCATGGCTCAATGTCGTTGAACCTAACGACAATATAGACCTACACGACAGTGGTATTATGAGGAATCCGGTAAATGTTTGAACTTATTGTCGTTAAAGACAGTGCGTTATTACTTGTCGGTCAAGCTAGCTAGCCTCCAAATGACAAATCAACTGCCCACTCCCTAACACTAAACTCTACCTTGCAGGACAAGTTGGACAAGTTCAAAGCAGGGCACGCAGCAACACTGCACGATCTACGTGTACCAGAGAAGAATGCCGAGCTTCGATCTCGATCATTTCTCTGCAATTCTACCTTTGTTGACAAAAGACGGCTCAGCACCCCGACCACTGCCTCTCCTAAGTGGGGCTATCAACGTGTGTCGCCCCCTCCCGGCAGCAGCTGTACGGAGGCAAAGAGAGAAGATGTGTTCTTAAGACAGCTGAGGGATATTGTGGGACATCTCCTCATGCCCCAGAAACAGAACCACGAGGAGGAGCTCTGTGTCATGGTGAGAAATGAAATTGTTGCTGATCGTTGGTTATTTATACAATTTAAAAGGGCTGTTTGAATGAACACTTTGAAATAAAAATAACTGCGTGTGATATTAATATCAAAATTTGTCTCAGGTTCAAAACGCGTTAAAAGAGCAACCTGAGGGTTCCACCCTTCCCCGAGTAATAGAACGGGAGACCTGGAATAACGAAAAGTTCGGCGCGGGTCTGGATCATCTCAGGCTGGCCAAATCCGTCAGCGATATCATTCAAAACATCCAACGGAACAAACGCAAGGGTAGCCCTCACTGACGACTGGCCCTGTGCTAGGGATTCGAGAATAATTAAACAAAAATCACGACAAGGATAATTGTTTATGATTATAATCAACTGATGATTATACTATCCGAAAAAAGAATTTCTCAAAACAAATGAGGAGAGATTTGTTTTATTAATTTCAGTCCTTGTTTAAGGAGTTCATTGGAGTCCGCGAAGTGTTTGCATAATTTGAGTACACAGTTTGAAATGTTTAATTTAATTGTACATAGATCTATTACTAGTAGGAACTAGGAGTTGCTGTCATTGGTCATATGGCTGCACTGCTACATGACAGCACTCATCTCGTGAAATGTGGATATACAGTTTATTAGTGTGAATTTTGATCCGGTTCTTTATGGTAGTCAAATATTAATGCTTTTCAAACAAAGTTACAACGAGTTCTTCATGTAGTGCATCCTGGGTTTGGACAGGATATGCCCGTTTAAAATATTTCCATCACGTAACATTACATAATTCTCAATAAATGTAATAGATTTATAGTGATGTAATTAGTTTAAAACTAATTATATGATTTCAATTAATTCAACACGATTTTATGGGAAGGCTTAGCTTTATTTAAAATGAAAATTTAAAATGTCATGTTCAGGGATAGAGTTGTATTGTGTTTGATCCTGGAGAACCATCCGTTAAATTACTTTCACATACAATTACAAATCAATTGTTTGCTATTTGTTATAACTATCCATGGTATATACAGATAAGGGAAGATAGTTTTGACTTTTGTTAAGTGTTTCTTACTGATATTGATACGCTGATGTTGGGTTATATTTATAAGTAGTCTCATGTGTATTACATGTTAATATTATCACCTCAGTTTTAGCTGTAGTTCTTCAATAACGAATTTTATTGTGTATAACTGATAACAAACAAGTGTTTAGGCTCCTGCGACATAGATGAAATCAACATTAACTGGGAGATGTTCTGTCCTAAAAAGGGACTTCAATTTCCAATAGGGTTGTCCACATATTACGCAATCAGCCGAGGGGGGGGGGGGGGGGGGGGAGGGGCTGTAATTCAAAAGCAAATTTGGCAAGAAGTGGTGCTCACGGTCTCACTTAACGTCACTTATCGCTCAGTTAAGAGCGACCAAGGTCTACGACAGACAGCCTGCAGGCATATGATCCGAATACGAAATATCCTTGTGTTCGGCATTCATTAGCCCTAATTGGTTACTTCTTATACAGTTGACTGACGCCGAGTAGGGTGTTTTGGCCGTTCTAACTTAAGAATTTTAAGAATTAAAGCAGCCGTATTGATTTAAAATGTCATGTTCAGGGATAGAGTTGTATTGTGTTTGATCCTGGAGAACCATCCGTTAAATTACTTTAACATACAATTACAAATCAATTGTTTGCTATTTGTTATAACTATCCATGGTATATACAGATAAGGGAAGATAGTTTTGACTTTTGTTAAGTGTTTCTTACTGATATTGATACGCCGATGTTGGGTTATATTTATAAGTAGTCTCATGTGTGTTCCATGTTAATATTATCACCTCAGTTTTAGCTGTAGTTCTTCAATAACGAATTTTATTGTGTATAACTGATAACAAACAAGTGTTTAGGCTCCTGCGACATAGATGAAATCAACATTAACTGGGAGATGTTCTGTCCTAAAAAGGGACTTCAATTTCCAATAGGGTTGTCCACATATTACGCAATCAGCCGAGGGGGGGGGGGGGGGGGGGGGGGGGGGGGCTGTAATTCAAAAGCAAATTTGGCAAGAAGTGGTGCTCACGGTCTCACTTAACGTCACTTATCGCTCAGTTAAGAGCGACCAAGGTCTACGACAGACAGCCTGCAGGCATATGATCCGAATACGAAATATCCTTGTGTTCGGCATTCATTAGCCCTAATTGGTTACTTCTTATACAGTTGACTGACGCCGAGTAGGGTGTTTTGGCCGTTCTAACTTAAGAATTTTAAGAATTAAAGCAGCCGTATTGATTTAAAATGTCATGTTCAGGGATAGAGTTGTATTGTGTTTGATCCTGGAGAACCATCCGTTAAATTACTTTAACATACAATTACAAATCAATTGTTTGCTATTTGTTATAACTATCCATGGTATATACAGATAAGGGAAGATAGTTTTGACTTTTGTTAAGTGTTTCTTACTGATATTGATACGCCGATGTTGGGTTATATTTATAAGTAGTCTCATGTGTGTTCCATGTTAATATTATCACCTCAGTTTTAGCTGTAGTTCTTCAATAACGAATTTTATTGTGTATAACTGATAACAAACAAGTGTTTAGGCTCCTGCGACATAGATGAAATCAACATTAACTGGGAGATGTTCTGTCCTAAAAAGGGACTTCAATTTCCAATAGGGTTGTCCACATATTACGCAATCAGCCGAGGGGGGGGGGGGGGGGGGGGGAGGGGCTGTAATTCAAAAGCAAATTTGGCAAGAAGTGGTGCTCACGGTCTCACTTAACGTCACTTATCGCTCAGTTAAGAGCGACCAAGGTCTTACGACAGACAGCCTGCAGGCATATGATCCGAATACGAAATATCCTTGTGTTCGGCATTCATTAGCCCTAATTGGTTACTTCTTATACAGTTGACTGACGCCGAGTAGGGTGTTTTGGCCGTTCTAACTTAAGAATTTTAAGAATTAAAGCAGCCGTATTGATTTAAAATGTCATGTTCAGGGATAGAGTTGTATTGTGTTTGATCCTGGAGAACCATCCGTTAAATTACTTTAACATACAATTACAAATCAATTGTTTGCTATTTGTTATAACTATCCATGGTATATACAGATAAGGGAAGATAGTTTTGACTTTTGTTAAGTGTTTCTTACTGATATTGATACGCCGATGTTGGGTTATATTTATAAGTAGTCTCATGTGTGTTCCATGTTAATATTATCACCTCAGTTTTAGCTGTAGTTCTTCAATAACGAATTTTATTGTGTATAACTGATAACAAACAAGTGTTTAGGCTCCTGCGACATAGATGAAATCAACATTAACTGGGAGATGTTCTGTCCTAAAAAGGGACTTCAATTTCCAATAGGGTTGTCCACATATTACGCAATCAGCCGAGGGGGGGGGGGGGGGGGGGGGGAGGGGCTGTAATTCAAAAGCAAATTTGGCAAGAAGTGGTGCTCACGGTCTCACTTAACGTCACTTATCGCTCAGTTAAGAGCGACCAAGGTCTACGACAGACAGCCTGCAGGCATATGATCCGAATACGAAATATCCTTGTGTTCGGCATTCATTAGCCCTAATTGGTTACTTCTTATACAGTTGACTGACGCCGAGTAGGGTGTTTTGGCCGTTCTAACTTAAGAATTTTAAGAATTAAAGCAGCCGTATTGATTTAAAATGTCATGTTCAGGGATAGAGTTGTATTGTGTTTGATCCTGGAGAACCATCCGTTAAATTACTTTAACATACAATTACAAATCAATTGTTTGCTATTTGTTATAACTATCCATGGTATATACAGATAAGGGAAGATAGTTTTGACTTTTGTTAAGTGTTTCTTACTGATATTGATACGCCGATGTTGGGTTATATTTATAAGTAGTCTCATGTGTGTTCCATGTTAATATTATCACCTCAGTTTTAGCTGTAGTTCTTCAATAACGAATTTTATTGTGTATAACTGATAACAAACAAGTGTTTAGGCTCCTGCGACATAGATGAAATCAACATTAACTGGGAGATGTTCTGTCCTAAAAAGGGACTTCAATTTCCAATAGGGTTGTCCACATATTACGCAATCAGCCGAGGGGGGGGGGGGGGGGGGGGGGAGGGGCTGTAATTCAAAAGCAAATTTGGCAAGAAGTGGTGCTCACGGTCTCACTTAACGTCACTTATCGCTCAGTTAAGAGCGACCAAGGTCTACGACAGACAGCCTGCAGGCATATGATCCGAATACGAAATATCCTTGTGTTCGGCATTCATTAGCCCTAATTGGTTACTTCTTATACAGTTGACTGACGCCGAGTAGGGTGTTTTGGCCGTTCTAACTTAAGAATTTTAAGAATTAAAGCAGCCGTATTGATTTAAAATGTCATGTTCAGGGATAGAGTTGTATTGTGTTTGATCCTGGAGAACCATCCGTTTAAATTACTTTAACATACAATTACAAATCAATTGTTTGCTATTTGTTATAACTATCCATGGTATATACAGATAAGGGAAGATAGTTTTGACTTTTGTTAAGTGTTTCTTACTGATATTGATACGCCGATGTTGGGTTATATTTATAAGTAGTCTCATGTGTGTTCCATGTTAATATTATCACCTCAGTTTTAGCTGTAGTTCTTCAATAACGAATTTTATTGTGTATAACTGATAACAAACAAGTGTTTAGGCTCCTGCGACATAGATGAAATCAACATTAACTGGGAGATGTTCTGTCCTAAAAAAGGGACTTCAATTTCCAATAGGGTTGTCCACATATTACGCAATCAGCCGAGGGGGGGGGGGGGGGGGGGGGGGGGGGGGAGGGGCTGTAATTCAAAAGCAAATTTGGCAAGAAGTGGTGCTCACGGTCTCACTTAACGTCACTTATCGCTCAGTTAAGAGCGACCAAGGTCTACGACAGACAGCCTGCAGGCATATGATCCGAATACGAAATATCCTTGTGTTCGGCATTCATTAGCCCTAATTGGTTACTTCTTATACAGTTGACTGACGCCGAGTAGGGTGTTTTGGCCGTTCTAACTTAAGAATTTTAAGAATTTAAAGCAGCCGTATTGATTTAAAATGTCATGTTCAGGGATAGAGTTGTATTGTGTTTGATCCTGGAGAACCATCCGTTAAATTACTTTAACATACAATTACAAATCAATTGTTTGCTATTTGTTATAACTATCCATGGTATATACAGATAAGGGAAGATAGTTTTGACTTTTGTTAAGTGTTTCTTACTGATTATTAAACCCGCCGTGTTGGGTTATTTTTGTGTCTTTTGGTGTGTTTTATGTTTATTACACTTTTTGTTTTAGCTGTAGTTCTTCAATAACGAATTTTATTGTTAAAACCCAAAAAAAAAAAAAACAAAAAAAAAAAAACCCCCCCCACAAAAAAAACCCCCCCCCCCCCCCGGCCCCCCCCAAAAAAAACCCCCCCCCCCTCCCCCCCCCCCCCCCCGGGGGGGGGGGGGGGGGGGGGGGCCCCCGGGGGGTTCTAAAAAGGAAAAAAAGGGGGGGGGGGGGCCCCGCCGGGGGGGGGGGGGGGGGGGGGGGGGGGGGGGGGGGGGGGTAGGGGCTGTAATTCAAAAGCAAATTTGGAAAAAAGGGGGGTTTTCTCACGGTCTCACTTAAGTACTTATCGCTCAGTTAAAAGGACCCAAGGGCACGAAAAAGGGGGAAAAGAATCCTTTGGGGGGAAAATTTTTTTTAAAATTTCCTTTTTGGGGTTTTAGCCCTAATTGGTTACTTCTTATACAAGTTGACTGACGCCGAGTAGGGTGTTTTGGCCGTTCTAACTTAAGAATTTTAAGAATTAAAGCAGCCGTATTGATTTAAAATGTCATGTTCAGGGATAGAGTTGTATTGTGTTTGATCCTGGAGAACCATCCGTTAAATTACTTTAACATACAATTACAAATCAATTGTTTGCTATTTGTTATAACTATCCATGGTATATACAGATAAGGGAAGATAGTTTTGACTTTTGTTAAGTGTTTCTTACTGATATTGATACGCCGATGTTGGGTTATATTTATAAGTAGTCTCATGTGTATTCCATGTTAATATTATCACCTCAGTTTTAGCTGTAGTTCTTCAATAACGAATTTTATTGTGTATAACTGATAACAAACAAGTGTTTAGGCTCCTGCGACATAGATGAAATCAACATTAACTGGGAGATGTTCTGTCCTAAAAAGGGACTTCAATTTCCAATACGGTTGTCCACATATTACGCAATCAGCCGAGGGGGGGGGGGGGGTTCCAAATGATTACGCTAGTGTAATTTTGACACAACATCTATAAATATAAGTATGTGTAAAACTGATTACAGAGGGGAGGGGGTGTTAAAACACCCCATACCGTGTAAATCATTGTTTCCTCCTCGACCCTCGTCTACTTTGTTCTTTTTATTTAACATGTCACTTTAAAGACTACTACCGTATAGATAGAAAGAGAATTAAGTCTTGACTTAAATATTTTGAAAAAAATATGCGTATTTTTCAGTGAGAAGCCTTTAGCCTCATTGAGTGCGCGGCGCGGCACAGTAACGCATCGATGCGTGCAGTTGACTGACGCCGAGTAGGGTGTTTTGGCCGTTCTAACTTAAGAATTTTAAGAATTAAAGCAGCCGTATTGATCTTCCAAACCTACAACTTTCAAGGGCTAGAATTCGCTGTATTTTGCCGTTAAACCACAACTTGTACTGTTTTACTTCATGATGGGGGGGGGGGGGGGGGGAGGGGCTGTAATTCAAAAGCAAATTTGGCAAGAAGTGGTGCTCACGGTCTCACTTAACGTCGCTTATCGCTCAGTTAAGAGCGACCAAGGTCTTACGACAGACAGCCTGCAGGCATATGATCCGAATACGAAATATCCTTGTGTTCGGCATTCATTAGCCCTAATTGGTTACTTCTTATACAAGTTGACTGACGCCGAGTAGGGTGTTTTGGCCGTTCTAACTTAAGAATTTTAAGAATTAAAGCAGCCGTATTGATTTAAAATGTCATGTTCAGGGATAGAGTTGTATTGTGTTTGATCCTGGAGAACCATCCGTTAAATTACTTTAACATACAATTACAAATCAATTGTTTGCTATTTGTTATAACTATCCATGGTATATACAGATAAGGGAAGATAGTTTTGACTTTTGTTAAGTGTTTCTTACTGATATTGATACGCCGATGTTGGGTTATATTTATAAGTAGTCTCATGTGTATTCCATGTTAATATTATCACCTCAGTTTTAGCTGTAGTTCTTCAATAACGAATTTTATTGTGTATAACTGATAACAAACAAGTGTTTAGGCTCCTGCGACATAGATGAAATCAACATTAACTGGGAGATGTTCTGTCCTAAAAAGGGACTTCAATTTCCAATACGGTTGTCCACATATTACGCAATCAGCCGAGGGGGGGGGGGGTCCAAATGATTACGCTAGTGTAATTTTGACACAACATCACTAATTAGTGACATATAATTAGTGATGTGATCCATCAGTAGGATCTAACTGACCTAGAAATGGGCTAGATACAGGGTAGAGTTCACATGTACATCATCGCGGTTCATTAAGAAGTAAACATGATCTTTAAGATTTGACCGCTCGACTCGTATATCACGTAAGGGACGGGAGCTCTTGCTAAAGGGGGGTTCTCGTATCTAGGGATGTGAGACGTACGTGCCAAAGGCATGCAACGGGAGTGAGCCGATCAAGTGTTCTTAGCTGATCAAGTGTACTCAGCTGATCTTGTTTCAAGGACGTTCATCCTTGTATCACGTCGCGTCGTGACCCCCTTTTTTGTTTCACTATAGTTATAGTGTGAAACTTTATCGTTTTTACGATACAGGGGGAGCCGCGCACTCCTGCTCGGCAGGTCATACAACATATGACAAGTTCACCCCACTGCTGGTGGCTCTGCGTAGAATCTAACCTGTTACCTCGTGAAATGCTTGGGCAATACCAACTAAGCCAGTCACTCCCTCAGCACTCCGTGCATTGAAGTATCTTCTTATTTTGTGTTTTGTTTCTGAATTTTACCCCTTCTGAGAGAAACTTGTGCGTCGCAAAATTAAAGATGTAGCAAAGAATAAGAAACGGACTCAAATCTAGTGCCAGTTGTAACAATTTGATCATCATAATTATATTTCAGCAAGTGGAATTTAATTTCTTACATCTTTCAAAAAAGTTATGAAGGATTTAAAATAGTGATGACACCACCATTCTTTGCTTCTGAGTGAAATCTGCTTCACATGCAGTTCACTAAAATCTGAATGGTTAACTTTGACCCGCTGACATAACACATAAGTTGCCTTGTTAAGTTTGGTCACTTCAATGGCGTTAACAGTTCATTTAAATGGCCAACATTTTAGTCGTTTTTCTCCCTTATTTGAACTGAACACTGCAACTGAACATGTTACTTTTGCCATTTTGTTAGATATGTCGTCCTAATAGTAATATTCGCATTTCCAAGTTTTCAGCTGCCAAAACCGAAGCGTGCTGTATACGTTTTCTTTTAAGGGGTCAAGAACAAACCAGTACCTGACAAAAAATTTAAAATAACCATAATTTCATTTTCATGGACTTATACTATTTGAACTTCGGACTAACTTGAAAGGTAAACATTTAACAAAATTAATTGCAACTTTAAACTACTGAAATACAGTTTTAAAACCAACAAAAATTCGATTATTAGATTGAACAAAATATTAAATATTGGACTACGAAATAAAATTGTAATATTCCTAGTTAATCGTTAATAGTTAATAAGTTAATTTAAAAGTACATCTTTTTAAATTTCATAGTCTGTTGGAATTGCAACCAACCAAAATGTGATCATAAATGACAAAGGCCCTTACCAACACATTTAAACCATAGTCTATATTTGTTCTGACGTATTGTTCATTCTTCTGATACGTTGCAGACAGCGTGATTTGATGCCCTCCCAAGCAATCAGATACTCCAAACCTCCATCATTCCCCTGCCTCTTTCCCAATATCTGGTAATTCTCGCCGCTTTGCAACCGTTTTATTGTCAACGATTTCGGTTCTGTGGCTGAATTCTGCAGGAACAAGGAAGTTGGTTGTTTTGAAAACAAATGACTGTTCATAAAGAACTATATCATGGGGATATAGTTCATTGTGATATGTGAAAATTAAATCATAAGTGGGCTTGTATAATTATTAATTTATTATACATGTTAAACATGATACGTATACGTTACCAATTCCGAAACATATTTGGCGATCAAATATCCAAAACACGTGTGCGCGGCTTTAATTCGCGAATTGGCGGCAAAAGTACAAATTATCATTTCGCGCCTTCCATTTTAGTATATTTGGATCTCTACCTTGTCACAGATGTTCCAGGCCAGGGTTAAAATTTAATAGATTGCTGATTGGATCATTAATAACTTGCACTTTGTAGGTGGTCAGTTGCCACCTAAATAAAGTTTCCATCTACATGAACGAAAGCTTTGATTTCAGAAATATCTTCTGAATAACTTATGCACAGTTATAGGCTCACCGACGAAAGTAATCTTAAGTAATAATCTCAGAATGTGTGTCTGTGTGTCTGTCTGTGAGTGCGTGTAATTTCCGAGCGGCTTAATCAAGAAAACGGTAAGAGTTACGAGACTGCCGGACTGGTCTTTTCGGTGTAGTTTCGACAAAACTCTGACGAAGCCAAATGAATAAGGTTTTTTAAATTGGTCGGCGGTAAGTGGTTTAATTGATGGTTTTGTACCACAAATGTGACATAAAATGGCGCACTTTTTCTCCCTCCTCGGCCCTCGCTCTCTCTCCCATTACTGCATAATATGTAGCGTTGGTGCATGAATCATAATTAGGTTAGCCGCGGAAGATTGACTGTTATGTAAGACTATAAGCTTATTAGGGGGGAGGGCGCTCATTGCGGTTTGGACTGTAGAGAGAGTTCATACTTTCATACGACAAGGTTATGCATGTTTTCAAATAAAATAGGCGGGTTTATACTTTTGCATTTCAACTGCGATAGTGAAGTCCCGGCTGTATAGGCCTGGACTACTAGTTACACTACTAGTTACACTACTAGTTACACTAGTAATTAAGTATTGCGACAATAAAACAGAACGTAATTACCCAACTTAAGTTCAGCACGTGTATCAGCAATGATATTGAACCGGAACACGTGCTCCAACCTCAGAGCTACAACACGTGAATTCGTGGATAGTTACAGTTTCGAGAATAAACTCACCGTCGGAGGATTACCATCTTTCTCCTCATCTAGTGCAGTTCGAGCTCTTCTCTGTTTCTGATCACTAGCTTCACCCGATTCCTCACTCCTGATTGGTTGTTTGTTTTACACGTGACTATTTTTGATGCTGTTTCTTAGACTAGCTTATTTACCTGCTATCTTTATCTATCCTTGAAAATTCCCTGTAAACCTTTTGAAACCTAATCCGAATTCAAATACCACTCTTTCAACCTCACTGGTTTTGGAATCGCACCTAAACGAGGTTTTAGGTTATTATCTCAACTTGTGTCACGACTATTATATTGGTGCAACACTGTGTCGTAAGACAATAACAATATCATGAATATGAGCCATCAGTTCGTGCAGCTAGCATCTGGTAGATCGAGTAATTCCGCTTTCAATCCTTATTACGTAGATCCTAAGATCCACGCGTTTACTACATACTAGACCTAGCTTGGATCTTGATTAACATGGTCGCCTTTCATAAGTGAAGTGAGTGACTTTCTTTATATGACCTTTACAACTTTATATTCTATGCTAATACAAGGTGCCTCCGTATACATTAACATTAATATCAATAAAACTATTAAAGTCGTGGTACTCACCCACTCACCCTCATGAATATTTATTAAAACTACAAAACACATACTATCACGTGATCACCAGGTGACGTAACACCGTTACTATAAATAGACGAGTTTCTCACTTACCTTGCCATATTGGATGTTGGTGGCGTTGAATTTAATTGTGATCTGCTTCCAGAATTCTTTCTCTTTTTCCCACTTTTTGTCTGTGTTTCGCTGTGACTCTCATTTACTTTAATCTTTTTCCCATAGTAGTCCACGTCTTTGAAAAGGGATATGTCGTATTGGGACGGGGGGAACTCTTCTGGAAGCGGGGATCCGTCCACTTGCAACCCTTGAGAAGATAAGAATACTATGAGCAAGTTATTAAAGTGAGGAGAATTAGTTTCAATTTTGAATATTTCAATAAAATAAATTGTCAGTTGGCTACTGGGTGTCAGGTTGCTACTTTACTCTTATCATGTACCCACTCCCACATCCAGAACTGAGAAATATTAGATACGAAATATCATACGATTTCCAGTTCACACTTATACTGTTCCATCATAGAACTACGTCATTCGTATATCATCAACATCTTAATAAATCAAGGAAAGAAATTTTGTGATTTATTTTCTAAAAATGGGTGCATAATACTGCTTGGGAACAGAGCCGTATCTCATCAATTATACAAATATATAAAATGTAATATCAGATGATGGGGATCATACGTCATGAAATTTTTTAATTTTCTCATGCTATAACTACGAGGACTCTACAATGTACACCACACAACTTTGATGATGTCCTTAGTTTACTTAATCCGGACTGTTGCGCTGAACTTGTAAAGTTTGATGTTGAATCGATCACTAAATATACCATTTATAGTAAACAACTGTGAGTGCCGCAATAGGTGAAAGTGCCGCAGTGGTTGAAAACAAATAATTAGCTAAATTAAACTGCACCCCCCGGCCCCCCCCCCCCCCCCCCATGATATCTAGCGTCTTAAATACCAATTTTCTGTGTTGTGAGACTGCGTTCTTGTAAGCTTGTATCTTCAACCGTTCAATTTTGTTGCAGTTTCTATTATAGTATACTCATGGCTTTAATAGCATATTATGTTATTAACTCATTTAAAATTTCTATTGAGAGTATTCATATCAGTAGTAAAAATCTTTAATATTAATTAGACTCCGGTTTCGGCAGATATAATAATATACTGATCGTATCCACTATTTCCACAATGAAACCAAAACCTTAAATGATCACTTGATCAGTTAAACTTTTGGTACCGTACGTTCTGGTTCCGTATATTTTGCTTTCCATTAACCACGATAGACCAGGTCATGTGATGCTCAGTTTTTTAGAAAGCTAGTTCTTAGTGGCTCTGGCCACCATTTATTTACATTATACATTATGAGGATCTTTATTATTTACTGCTACGTAGAGTACAGGGTCAGATAAGGGTCCATGTAGTATTCTTCATGGGGGAGCCCTCACTCAGCACCTTACAGGAAATTTAAAACATTTTATTTATTAGAAACTTCTCTTAGGTTTTAGCAGCTATGGTTAGTCATTTTGCTCAATTGGGTTTAGAATTTATCCACCCGTGCCTAACTGTACACCTTATAAATCAAGAGGCTTGCATATAATGAACATATTGACATGGGTGTAGAGTTGAGTCTGTACGGAACCTAATGAATAGCGCACCAAATGAATTGCTAACTGACTGAACCAGTCTGTTAAAACATAGTTTATAGCGATAATATTGGATCTTATGGCTTATGCTCCATTCGGAGTCTCGCTATTGCAACACGTTTTAAGATGTTTAGACCGGAGTTAACTAAGCACATAACGTAAAATGGCTAAATAGATAAGGTGTCTGGTAATTGTAAAAGAAACTTATTTTCATTAACAAAAATAATACAAAGAAATTGTACAAATTTTAAAAAATATTGTAGATATTACATGGCACCGGTACGTACCGGATAATAAACCTTAAAAAGTAAAAATCATCAAAATATATCAGTTCATAATAATATATTCAATGTCAATTGTCACTTCTTGAAAGTTATTTCACAATATTATTGGCTTGTTAAATTTCTCCTTCGTCGAAAGGACCACTCCCGAACACCTGAACTTCACGGAACATCATAAGTTTGGCAAGAGACTGCTTCACATAAACCTTCCGAGCGTAAACTTTCTCTTTTGCTCTGAAGTTGTAGAGAGACTTTTCTTCAGCAATACCTCCGAGAAGTTCCTCGTCTGCGTAGACAAAAACACCGAGATTGAAGCTCTGATCAGTAAGTCTACTCCAAAGTTTGACTGTATTAATCTTGAACAATCCACCCAGATCAATGATAAGCATGAAGTTCCTCTTGCTAGCATCAGCATCATTAGGATTTAGGATGCTGTATTGGATTCAACCCGTTCCAATCATTACTCAACGTATAGACTCCGTCCACTGCATATTCAGAAAATAGTCTGTCTTGCCATGTACTGTTCTGCCAAGTCAGTTTTTGTTGTGATATCAGTCTCACCTCTGATATCATGACTTCTACTTTTTTGTCCACTTTCGTTATCATCGATCCCATTCCTTTCTCCAGCTCTATCATTTTGTCACTTATCTGCGACTCCATATCGGTGATTTTCTCTCCTTGTGCACGCACGAGATCTTTCATTTCTTTAACTTCCTTGATAAGATTGAGTGTTATTGTAACTCAGAAGTCAAAACTCAAAAACTAACGTTTCACAAAAACGTTAGTATTACCACAATAATTTATTAAATTTATCTATCTGCGACATAACAAGTGACTTATGCATGTAATCTATCCTGATCTGGAGGATCTCGAGTAAACTGACGCTCACTTTATAGCTTTATGGAGAATTCTTCAGTTCGCAAAAAATATGCTGAGAAATTTAAAGCATAAAAAGGGACGAATTTCATAGAAAAAAGATCCCAAGACAATTGAGTAAAAATATATGTATAATGTGTTGCTACTGTAAATATCCGAGCATTGTCGGTCTTATTGTTATATAGTTATATTTCCCTACGTGACCTAGTTCACAATTTTCTAAATCTCCCTGTTTAATTTGAGTTGCCGGGGGAGTCTTCTTAAAGTGAGCGACAAATTGGTTTAAAACCAACGCAATCCGTTTTAAGAGGTATTTAAGTAGACACGTTAACCTTTATTAACCACCAGCACCACGTCGTTATGTTATAACACGGTTGAGAAGTCACGTGACTCACGTGACTCACGCTTTACGCCACCTTCAAACACGACTAAAAGGTTGCTGTTTTGTGGCTTTCATTCTGATTCCATGTCTGGCTTTCAGACATGAACCATGTTTCAATAGTTACCACATGAAAGCCTCTGGAAATCCAATTTGAACAATAACTTAAATCGACGGCCCTATTCATTAAACCAAACCGGCACCATGCCTGTAGGATTGTTGGTAAATATTCAGCCAGATATCATAGAGACAAGAGTTTGATATCATCAACACAATATGTTATATCTATGAACAATCATCTTAGGACACAAAGCTTTGTCTTTATGAAGCACGGATATAAAACTCATTAGTCAACACTAATATACTCTGTACTATAAGTATAAGGGTCATGGAGTTGTCATCACATTTCTAATTTCTGAGCCACTTTACGGTTGAAATAAGCCACACGTGGTTAATTAGTTAATAAGACATAACAGAGGGATTCATGGTAAAGTATCATATTGTAGCTCAGTTCCAATATTAGACTCCTTACCCTGGTTTATGTGTTGCTACTTTATAACGTAGGGAATAGAAGGAGCAGTCAGATTTGGCGGTAAGTAGTGAGGGAGCCGATTGTTATTTGAGGATGTATGTACAGTAAAACCCCGATTTACCGCAGAGTTTGGGGGAAAGGAAACATTCGCGGTAAATCGGGGTCCGCGGTAAATCGGGGTTTTGTTTTTTTACATTTAAATAGTGATATACTATTTGGGGGAAAGGAAATGGCCACGGTAAATCAGGGTTTGCGGTAAATCGGGGCGCGGTAAATCGGGGCACGGTAAATCGGGGCACGGTAAATCAGGGTTTTACTGTACTTAGTTTCTCTGGCAGGTCGAAGAGCAGTTTTCATGACATTTTCCTTCCGACCTTCTGTGAACTAAATAATGCAACATGATAAATGGGGTGAGAGGTGAGGCTTCGTGTTATTTTTACAGCAAACACCTGCTAGAAGTATGGTTTCACCGTGAGTATTGAGTAATGAGTATGGCAAAACACACCATGAGAAATTTTACACATTCGGAGAAAGGTTGTTCCGTGTACAGTGTATTTTTTAATGATCAGATTTGTAAATCCAAATTTTCTGGACCATAGCACTTTTCGGACAAAAATATACCCTTTTGGATTTTATTTTCTTGCTGAAAATGTTTTAAAGTGGTTATTTTTTGATGGTTTTGTTTATTTGACTGAACTAATTAAATAAACGAATTCGAATTAATATCGGTATTCAGCGAGTATATAATTGTATAGTGGGTATATTGTCCCGCCCATTGCGTTTCAGTGTTCCGGTTAGGTAACCAAGGAAAGTAAGTAACTGTGTTATATAAACTACCATTTAGCACAGCATTGAAGGCACACACGGATATACAACAAGACCGTTAAGAGCCAGTCTCGTCTATATCATTGCCATGATATCAATGACATATCGATGACTTCGACTCATCAAGATTGTAATAAGACTGGTGATCGTGATTGTATTATATCCGATATACGGAGCTGTCAGTGAGGCTGACTGAGTGAAGTCATATCGTGATAATATTCTGGACACCTGGTGAGGAGTGTGGCTAGCACAGTACTGACTACCGATTACAAACACACGTACTGGTGAAGAAAATGTCAAGTCCTGTCAAAATCTGGCGCTTGGTATCCCCTAACTTGATATGTTGTCTGAGCAGTGAGAACTTTAGAGTAGTTCATATTATCTGGAGAGGAATATGCTGGATTCCTGCTAGACTTTACCTCACGTGAGCAATTTTGAAATTTAGTTTAACATGTTTAGTTGGTTGGGTTTCCGTTGTATTTCGTTGGATTTGTGCCGTTGCCTTTCTTTATCAGTTAGTAGCTGACATGGGATTTAAAAATTTACAACCTCAACATAGAGCACAAATATAAAATATTGATTGATTGCTTGAGAAGCATGAGCACAACCTGGAGGTAGTTCTTGGCAAATTGTTATATTATTACTTTATTCAAATCAAAAATAGAACATAAATAGACATCTTAAAAATCTGACCAGTAGATTTTGAAGCTCAAGATGTAACTTTCACGAATCACGAATATATGATGATTCAAAAGTATGAATGA